TATATATATATATATATAATACACCTTGTTATATATATGTAAAAGACTTATGAAGAGACTGGGTTCAACAACTTCAGATTGTTAACGTCATGAAAATTCTAAATTTTCAAATACTCTTTCCAGAGATCCAAAAGGTCCCTTTGGATTCTACAATTTAAAAAATAAAAATTCAAGATAAATTTGTAAATGAATGGTTTGTGTCCAAGGAATGAGTATGCTCACCCATAAACATTTAATCTTGCTTTTTTCATTTGTTCGGTGAAAATATATTGAAATCGCCGCAAAACTGCGAATTGTACACTTTCCTATCTATGATTTGCAGATGTATACTGCAGCAAAGCAACCTGGCAACTTATCGCAGTCGGCTCTGGTGAGTTCTGGATTTCAACACTGTCTTATTACCCCATTTTTCATTTGGTTTCCTGTCAAAGAGCTAATACAATCAACTAAGCAGTATTTAAAAAAAGACATGAAATGATTCTCGACATGATTTCCCTGAAGCGCTATATATCGACATATATATCTATTAGAATTCGAATTGTGAAACGGTTCAGTGCCGGTTGTTTTGATTGTTTCGCGAAGTTTTGAACAGCATTAAATGTAGATGACAGTATGTTCCACTGTCAATATGTTATATAATATTTGTGTTTAGTTTCACACAAAGTGTATCAAAGAAATACACTAAAGACCAAACAAATGCTTCAACCGCTTCGAAAGTCGGCAGAGAAAATGGCTTGCTGGTTTAGCATACTTACTTACTAATTATAATATTCTTGCAGACACTCATGAGACTATTAATCAAATCATGCTCGTTGATTTTTTAATTCACAATGAGTTCCAGCTATAACTAACTATTAATAGTCATAACTGGCTATCGGCTAAAAAATGATTCGTGAAAATCAAATGGGTGATTCAAATTTTATTCACAGAAGTTAGATAAAGTACATAGAATGTACAATATACCTCTGTCTTACATTTTCTCCATTTTCTAACCTAGTCTTACATTTTTATTGATTATCCCGGGATATAAACAGATAACAGGAATATCCTAGCAAATTCGACACAAACTTAATTGCAGAGCTATCTCCAGTCACTTGGGAAAGCCACCAAAGCGTTACGCGAAGGGCAAGCAGAAAAGAAGTCTGTTTGATTAGAATTGTTATTTTTGCGAAAACATTATTCCAGCGTTTTAGAGTCACAGGAGGGCAGCATTCCTTTTCGGAATCATCTCGCCTTTCTAGTGGACGTGGTTCTCTGTCGTCCATGATTTCCCAGCTGAGAAATAGAACACAAAAAGAGCTGACTATTGAAGAATCTGATAGTGACAAGAGGTTAAGTTTGTGTCGCTTTGGTTTTTGTGTTAAATGTGCCTCGCTAAATGATAAGAAGCGCTGTAATACATTGCGTCTCATGACTGTATGCTCTCTGAAAATCATCATTTTTCGTTCTTAGAAGATATGAACCTCTTCTTCCTTCTTCTTCAGTTTAAAGTTGAATACATGTTTTTTTCAAGCTGCCTCATAATTATGCGACACTTATGATAGCGTTCTTCATTAGGGAAAAAGAATTACAGTCAAGCGCCAAGACATTCATCATCCTGCAGATGTTTGACTCGCTACGCACATAATTGTTGAATTGTTCTTTGCATTAGCTACCGATCCTCCGCCTTTAGATTTGATCTTGTGTCCAGCGCAACTCGTCGAGTCAAAATGTCCCAGGATTTCACTTTTAAATCGCTTTCCTCACGCAAATTGTTTCTGGTCTACTAATGTTAACCTTGGTGTTTCATGCCTTCGGTGCAGCAGAGGCAGGACTCAACTAGCGACCTGATAAATTGCGCTATCCATTCCTCGTGGAAAAAAAAACCAGATCGACTTCTTGCATGCCCCTTGCATGCCACGGGAAACTCTTTGACCCATGAATGAAATAACTTGAGGGACTTCTTCCTGAATCATAACATAGGACTTATGTCCATTACACCCATCAAGAACAAACTTATCTTAATTCAGAGCAAACTACCTAAAACATCAACAAAAATTTTAAAAGTGATTATCAAAAAAGGATGTTACTTTTGAAGACCTTTATCACGTTATCTCGTGCTTTGAAGTTGTGCCATTTTCACTTTATAGTCAGTTTGAGGCCTTCCATAAATCGCTACAGTGTTTCTAATAATTTGGAAAGATTTATCACTCTCAAGACTATCGCTTTTGATAGCGCGAGGCTCAAAATGATCCCAATCTGTTATAGAGACAGTCCCGATGTAGATGTTTTCTTCCACAGTCTCGCATCTATGGTAGTTGTCCTATTATTTCTACCTTACCAACTAGTAAAGTTGGAGTCCTGCAATGGCTTCTGGAGGTGGCCAATCTAGACACGACTCTCCTAATTGCTCCTTCTTTTTCGACACGACCTATGAGCGGCGCGTGAACTTGAAGAACGATTATAGTTCTCACTCGTTTTTTCTAAATTTTTGTGAGGACGTAAAAGAAAGAGCATCGTTTGGTCATGAAACACCGGAAAAAACACATGTACTTATTTTTTAATTGGTCCAAAATTGTTGTGGCCAGGATGCTTTCTAGACATTCAGATGCCGAACACAGCTTTGCTAAAAGAAAAGCTGCTTTCCATAGAGCTGGAAAATGATGACAAAGACTTTGAAGATATCATATAGTTGTGAAACGGATTGTAAGAGAGCTGATACTTGGTGAAAATCTCTTCTGTTTAGCACATCAGAACGTAGAAGCCATGATTCTGGCAGCACACCATCTATCGATAGTCGTTCTAGCGGTAAGCACCTAACGCTACTTTTCTTTAGCATAAATGTCACTTCGAAATTAATTTCAGATGGCGGTGAAAGGGTAGTTTTTGATTTCCCATTCGATGCTGGTAAAGAGGAGCACAAGCAAATTAATGAGCACTCGGAACAGCTACCAGGTGCTTTTCCATCGATGCTTTAACTCATTGAGCACAGTCCATATCTAATTTCTTTTCCTTTTTAGATCTGCAAAATAGACGAAAGAGCATTCATGACATTCTCGAACTACGCTCGTCCATCGACCACTCCTTGATCAAGCCTCCAAAACTGCAAAAACAGAAATCAAAACGAAGCGTCAGCACTAGTTCCAATAAAGAGGAGTCTGACTTTGAGCATTTAGCGGAACTAGAGGATGAGCCTCAGGTAAAACTGTCAGACTCTTAGAGCCGTATGCATGAGCGTCGCCTGAAGAGATCCTACCCACTGATTAAATTCACCGAGGTCCCTTTGTGCATAAGGGGAGGGGATCTCCTCAGGGAAGAGGATGTTTCCGAAAAGGGCTGGTCATGTTCCTTAAGCAGATTTGAGTTTAGATGCTCAAATCTCATTTGACTCCATCAATATTGCGCACTATTTCAATTAACGCCTGTGAGGATATTTGTCGTCTTTTTTTGAACATGTTATTCGGCTTCCTCCTGCACTTTTCAACAAGTTACACATGAATTTAGAACAAAACCTTTAAGACTGGAGACATTTCCTTGTCTCTTGTCTCGAGATTGGAAATGTCCTAAAATTTACACATTGCAATATGAAGGCTAACTAGCTTGAAAATTGATGTATAGAAAAGACAAATAACTACCATAGAAAGGTATTTTGCATATTCCAAAGCATCTCGCCATTGTTTATAAGATCTTACGACAAATTTCAAATAGTCTTTTTTTATCTTGCATAAAATGAAAGCACGACATAAGCAATTATAAGTTGCAATGATTACATGATGTTGTAGCTCCGCTTCTCTATATTTCAATTTGCTGAATGAAAAAATTGACAAAACATTTAGAAATATTAGCGGAATCTTAGCCTTCTTTTTGTACCAGCTGTACTATATTCACGGACTTTTAGAGCTTGATAACTGAATTTTCCTCTTAACTATCGCAAGCCCACAAAACTTCATTATTTGCTAAATGATACCATGAAGGAATTTATAGAAACTTCTTTTTGCAATTAAACAAAGTTTTGCAAAGTTCTCCCAGGTGAAACCTCATACATCAGC